CTTCATGGAGGTGGATTAAGAAGGTTAATGACTGGATAGCAGGTTAGACCTTTCTTGCCAAGTCTGTGAGAGTACTGTTATCTGAATAGATGTGACTTGTTTATTCTGTCAACTTAAATAAAGCAGTAAACTAAGGCAAATTTGAAGTACCTTAAATGAAGTACCTTGAGTTTATTTTAGAACATCTGAAGAACTGCAGTTAGGAAAAATTCAGCTACAGATAAGTCCCTGGGGTTTCCAGCAGCCCACATTTATGGGCAAAGAGGTCCAGCAAAAGACCAAACAGTAAGTTCAAATATGTGAAGATCAGAAAGATTATTTGGGGGTGTTGAAGATCAGGAAATAAGCTTCTATCTGCTATAAGCCAGACATTTTCATAAAATCAGATTCACAGTTCTTAAAGTTTCATTTTTCTGAAGGTATAGGCATGATAATCTCTATTTCATATCCTTTGATCCTATGTTAGATTAAAATCCTTTCAAAAATTCTTTCTAGTTCTATAATTGGGTAATCAGACATGCTATTCCTCTGAGCATGAAAATCACAACTAGAATTTTCTATTGAATATCTGAGAAAACCATTTCATTCACAATGATTTAGTAATATTGATCTGAGAATCTTTGGGTTCAAGTTTTTCTAACCTATGACCAATTTCTGATCATGAGTTTAATAAGCAAGGTAAGTACAATAGAAACTTAATAAAATATTTTGCAACACAATAAAAAGTATATCAGTGATTAATAGCAGAATAATATCTAATGTTCACAGCTCCTGATATAAAAGAATAGTTTGTGACTCTACCAAACCATACTCTCCTTTATTCATTAATATCACAGCAGGGGTTGGTTGATAAAAACATAACAATGGAATATAGCATAATTAAATATTTAAGTAGATGATTATATCAAAGCTATATATTATGTGCACTGTTCAAAATCGCCTATAAAGCTGTCAAATTTCATATTTGAGGGTTTATTTATGAGAATGATTCTATTAAATTTGCACCTCCCTATTCCCCCCAGTAACATTCTTTATTTTTCTTTCCTGCCTTATGTTTCTCCATAGTTCTTATCACCATCTAACATATTATTTATATAGATAGATAAATAGATTTTATTTATTTAAATTACTTATTGTCTGACTCTCTCACTAGAATTTAAATTCCATTAGGAAAAGAATTATTTTTCCACTTCACTAAGTCATGGGTTGTTTATCTCTAGTGAGTAAAATATTCCTAGCACTTAGTAAGTATTCAAAAATATCTATGAGTAAATAAAATGATTTAAGATCAATTTTCATTAAAACACATAAAAGATCTTGCAAAAATCAAGTCAAATAATAGAAACATTGGTTAGAGTTCATTCAAGGAAGGATGAATTATATTCTATATAACTATATTACAATTACATTCTATATTACTGTTCTCTTGAAATCTTGGTAACAACCAGCCTTTTGTTTTTATCTGCAGTAACTATAGTACATTCTTATTGCTGAGGATTATCATTGGAGAAAACAATAAAAAATTAAAGCTTTGGCAAAGGAAGTTCTGATAAGATGATATAGTAGTAATCAACACTTTGGGGGAAGAACTGCTTATAATTGAAAGTTATGCCAGCCAGATATATATATATCACGTAATGCTGTCATAGTTATGTCATTGGCTGTCTTTGTACCTAAAAGAAGCACTCATCTGTTTCTGTCATTTAGGATGATTAAAATATTGGGATAATAGGATCTCAGAAAATAGCCTGTTTTTTTTACAATTATGATTTCATATAATGTACATGGTAGTAAACTATCCAGAATTTATCTGTTGCTCATGAAAAGTCATAATGCAAACAATGAAAGGAGACACGAACAGCTGGTAGGGAAGACTAGCAATCTGTTTAGTGCATTAAGTCAGGTCTGGGTGCTATCAAGTAACATGTGTGTCCCATAAGCACGTTTTGGCCATCAACAGTCATCCTAAACCTCAGTAAGAATTCAACACAGATTCCGACTGCTTGAACCATTAGGATTTTCCTTTTAAAACAGCTTCTCGTATGACTGTGAATTTACTCCTTGAAATAGAAACTCTAAAACCAAGAAGAATTGAAATTAAAGATAATAACCAAACAAAAAAATTCAATTCAGCTTTCAAGTAATATGAAAATCCTCATCTACTAGCATCTCCTTACTCACTTTACGTGGAGAAGTCAAGGTCAATGTAACACTATTCATCATTAATCTTGGCAAGAAATTGATTCTGAGACTTCCTGATAGAAAGACATAGTCATAAAAGGAATTAAAAATAGAGTTGAAGTCAACTGTTCTTTAAAATATATTATTCACTTGGAAGATAAGTCACAGTTTTTCCTTAGGTGAACTATTTCAATATTAAAGTTATTCCTCCTTTTTTTTTTTGCCTTTTGAAATCACCTTTGTTTTGTCATCTGTTGCTTACAAATTACGACGCATGCAAAGTTCTTAGAAAGACTTCATGAAATCAGTAAAACTTAGAGATCAGATATAGCTAAGTTTAAATACTGTCATATTCTGGTGAGCACTGTGACCTGGAGCAAGTATGACAACCTCTCCGAGACTCAGTATCTTCATCATTAGAAAGAACTAATGATGTTATCAAATTCAGGATTGATGTAATGTCTAAATAAGATCATAAACTTATTTGCACACTGTATAGTACACCATGAAAGAATGACACATATATTAGCTACTATTAGTGGATATTGATATACAGCATTAATTTTTCACAACTGGTCATATTCTGGGCTAGCCCAAATCCAAATGATGAAGTTTAGACTTCAAATAAAAGCAAGGCATTAATAAGCAGGCACCAGAAGTTGTAGTTCAGTGTAACCACTAGGCTATCATTAATTACTCGTATCTATATTCTTGGCAACTCCAAGGTCAAGCTGCCTCAAAGCAAAATTCAACCTCCTACTCTATTTCTCAAAAGCAATAGAGTAGTTGAGGTATAATTTTCTACAAGACACTCTCCTGGTTACTTGGGACGTCAACTTATTAACTAGTCTGTTTCCCTAATATCCTCAAGCACAGCGATACCTATCCTCATGGCTAATTCAGCAGCAAACCTCTAGGAGATCTCTAACTCAGAATTCTTTTCATTTAGAAGTGTTCCTCTTTACCCAAAGGACACAGAAACATCAATTCCAAAGAGCACCTGCACCCCTATGTTTATAGCAGCACTGTTTACAATAGCTAAGCTTGGAAAACAACCCAAATGCCCAAAAATAGATGACTGGATCAAGATGTGGTACATATACACCATGGAATATTACTCAGCATTCAAAAAAGATAAACACATGCAATTTGCAGCAACATTGATGGCACTGGAAGGGATCATGCTCAGCGAAATAAGCCAGAAAGAAAAAGAAAAATACCGGATGGTCTCACTCATAGCAGGAATCTAGAAAACTTAAATAAGGGACCAGGAAAATGAATAACTATAAGAAAGTGAAAATCAAAATCAACAAAAAACTATGAACCAGAGACACTCTATGGGGGGTGCGTGGCGGGGAGGGGAGGGATTTGGGTCAAAATAACGGGGGTGCAATTGTATGGGGAATATAAAAATAAAATTTATTTTTAAAAAAAGAAAACAAAAGAAAAAAGAAAAAAAAAGAAGTGTTCCTCTTTTAAGACAGATACCTGACAATCGACTCCAACAGACATTCTACCTTCCTCATTTCTGATTTCTTTACTCCTATAAATGTTCACTCAATGATACTATTCTTTCTTATAAAGAATGCTCCCCCCCCAAACTTTTAATACCTCCAGTGCCAACAACAAAAACAATAAAATATCTAGAACTCTAGCCTTAAAATTAAAAAAAAAAAGAAATCTAGAAATCTGTGTCTTATATTTTCACATGTACACTGGTATCTCAAATAAAAGATACCCAAATTCAAATACAACATATCCACATTCATACCTATCTCTTTCTTTTAAAAGACAATTTCTTCCAATTATTTATTTCATTAACTGTCAAAAAAAAGTAACCCAAATATCCTAGTTACAGTTCAAACATTCATTTTACTAGACATACTAATAGTTATCAGAAAATAAAAACTGACAACATTCTAAAAAATAATAAATTTCTAGGCCTTAACTGAAAAAAATCAACATATACTAATTAATGCCCCAAAACAAGACTATAAATGTTTTAGGAATCATATCTTTATTGAGAAATTATGACCATCTAAAATGGCAGTGTCCTTTGAATACTGGTATCCAATATATTAATTAGTTACAAAAGTAAACAATTTTAGTTGAATTTATTAGAAATTGGGAAGAGATCATGCTCAGTGAAATAAGCCAGAAAGAAACAGAAAAAGCAACTATAAACCAAAGACACACTATGGGGGGGTGGGGATTACAGTCAAAATAAGAGGGGTGGGAATTGTATGGGGACTATAAACAAGATGAAAATGCACACATTGTGCAAAAATGAAAAATGATGTAAAATATACAAAATAAAATAAAAATATAAACAAGAAATTATTAAAAATTATGATTCAGGTTTTTCTTTATTAATTTATAAGAAAATAATAATCTGTGTTTACCAACCCACCATCAGAGCTCTCTCCAATCATTCCTTGTAACTTTTTCTGATGGATTTACTATTTACTCTTTCTGGGCAAAGTAATGTAAAGAGTAAGTTTCAAATGTCCATGTAGTTATCTGAATAACAGTATAAAATAAATCAACATTCCTCTTTTCAAATACAGTAAGAACTGTACTATCAGAAAATGCTTCTGACAGATGGCACGGCCACCCTGGGAGCTGTGCTCTTCTGTTAGTTATTACTGATTCATGGGTATTTTACATATATCTAAAGTTGAAGAAGAAATTATACTTGAAAGCTTGGAAGACATATATAGCCAAGCTTTATATCAAATATAATTTATATCAAGTACAGATTTGACTGAGAATTACTTTCTATATATATAGCAAATACATATAATACTTACAAACACAGACTCTGACATTGGCCTCCCTGGATTTGAATTTGAACTTAGTTCTTAACTAGATGAGTTATCTTGAACAAGTTATATAACTTCTCTCTGTTTCCTCAACTGTAAGATGACAAATAAAAATATTGACGTCAATGGGGTTTCAATGAGCATTAAAAATAACAAGTCATACAAAAGACTCAAAACAATGCTTGAACCACAGTAACTTTTGATTTAATGTTTGCTATTGTTTACTTGAGCAAAGGCAACATCAATGAACAAAATTAATTTATGAAAGAGAGTCATAATTATTCAACAGACACCATTATGTGTTATGTTCGTGCTGGTTATATTACAGAGATCACATCACATCATATGGTTCTTACAAGAGTCCTGCAGGAAATTATAAGCTTAGCCATTATGGATAAGCCAAAATTGAGATTTTGTGAGGCTTACTTTGAAAAGTGTACAAAACTACCATACAAAGAGCAAAGATTAGAATGTATCTCTTTGAATCCATGATTTTCCACCACACTTTCTAATAGTCATTTCTTCACTTTGAATGAAATTCTTACTTGCCTAATTTTATAAGCCTTAAATTTTAAGACATACAATTTTAAATATACAAAGAACTCTTAAAACACAACAAACATAAAAGTCAATTTTAAAAAATGAGCCAAACATCTCAACAGACATCTTATCAAAGAAGATACACAGATCTTCTATATAGATATAGATAGCAGATAAGTATATGAAAAGATGATGGCAATGTTATCTGCCATCAAGGAAATGTAAATTAAAATAAGAAGGTAGGGGCCTCCCTGGTGGCTCAGGGGTTAAAGACACAGCGCTATCAAGCTATCACCAGCCACTGCAGCACCAGGTTGGATCCTAGATAGCCAAGGAGCTGACCCACATGGCACAGCAGGCCTTTCCTGACTTTCCCCTCAGCAGTGATTTCAGTAGATCTTTCCCCTCAGCTCCCCTCAGCAGTGATTTCAGTAGATCTGCCTGTTCTGCTTCCCACTCTCTCTGGTGAATCCTTTCAAGCCCTACACCTCTGGCTTACACCCCAGTTCTTTTATGCATAAATAAATAACTCTTTTTTTAAAAAATAAGAAGGTATCACTACACACCTATTATAGTGGCCAAACTGTAGAATACTAGCAACACCAAATGTCGGTGAGGATTTGAAGCAAGAAATCCTATTCATTATCTGTGTGGATACAAAGTGGTGCAGTCACTTTATAGGACAGTTTGATGGTTTCTTACAAAACTAAACATACTATTATCATACAGTAAGTAGTCATACTCCCTAGTATTTACTGAAGGAGGTGATAACTTAGGTCCACACAAAACCTGAATGTAATGACTATAGCAGCTGTAGTCACAATTACAAAATTAGAAGTCAACCAAGATATTTTTAAATGAGTAAATGGACAAATCCAAGTGTAGAAAAATATAGTGAAGTATTACTCAGCACTAAAAAGAAATGAGGTATCAAGTCATGGAAAGACAAAAAATTTAAATACATATTACTATTTGAAAAAAAAGATAGCATGACATTCTAAGAAAGGAAACAACAGAATCCTATGGAATTCTGTGGAAACAACAGAAAGATCTGTAGGGGTTGAGGATAAAGGAGATGAGTATAGAAAGGGCAGAGGATTTTTAAGGCAATGAAAACATTTAAAATATTATAATGAGGTATATATATCATTCATTTTTCTAAACCCCACTGACTGTACAACACCAAGAGAGAACCTGTAGGTACACTTTGGACTTTGGAGGTTTATGATTGTTCATGTACTTTCATACTTGGTAAAACATGTACTATTCTGGTGAATGAAAATAATAATGAGGCTGTGAATGTGTGATGGCAGTGCATACAGGAAAAATTCTAAACTTTCCTCAATTTTATTCTCTGAAACTGCTCTTAAAAAAATTAAAGTCTTGGGCCTCCCCAGTGGCACAGTAGGTTGAGCGCAGCACTGTGAAGCTGTCTGCAGCACGGGTTCGATTCCTAGCCAGCCAGGGAGATACCCACATGGCATAGCAGACCTCTCGTCTCGCCCGCTGCTCCCCTCAGCAGTGCTTTCGGTCCATCTGCCTGTTCTGCTCCCCACTCTGTCTCTGGTGAATTCTCTCACCCTCCTGTGCCTCTGACTCCTCCCCAGTTCTTGTATAAATAAATAAATCTTTTAAAAAATTAGAGTCTTAGATAAAAGCAAGAGGAGACTGAAGCTCAGAGAGTGTGACTTGTCTTAAGATCATGTAACCTTTCTTTAATAATTGTTTAGACTAAAACCATCCTTTTTGAATGTTTAAAACATTCAATTCACTTGCCCATTATTCATATTAAGCAGCAATTTGATGAATATGTATTTAGGGCATGATAACTAGGAAATGCAATGGGTCAATCACTAAGGAAACTGTGAGCTACATTCTGAAACTGAGATAAAAGGATAGCACTGCTGGTGAACTACAGTCATGCCAAAAGGGAAGTTAAGTTTCACTTGAAGAAGAAATTAACAGAGAAAAAGTCTGTGTTGGTGTGTAAAAGGAACTGACAGATTTGCCTCACCTGTATCTTCATTGTCTTCTTTTAATTTGATACCTTCTTTTCCCTCATGCAATAAATGTACCCTAATTTTTTTCTGTCTGGGAGAGGGCAAAAAGACCACCTGGACAAGTCTTCAATTGCCACTTCCTCTCTTCTCTGTTCTCATTCAAGAAGTATAACCAGTCAGCACTTCCTCTTTCTCACATCCCTTAAGGTTCTCAACCTGTAGCACTTCTCTCTGAACCAGTAAACAAACAGATCTTGCTCTGGAATTCAGCAATAATTTCACATTTCTACTTTGGTGTCATGTCTCTCCTTCAAAGGCCACCATTGATTCCTTTTTTCTTCCATTACAATCAGCCCTCTGTGATCTTCCATATCCACAGGTTCTGCATCCATGGACTCAACCAATCAAAAATTACAAAAAACAAACAATGTAGTTAGGTCTATAGTGGCAGCTTCTGTACTGAACTGAACATGTACAGACCCCTTTTCTTGCCATTTTTCCATAAACAATGTAGTATAAGAAATATTAGCATATCACTTATATTGTAATTATACATAATCTAGAGATGATTTAAAAGTATACAGGAGGATGTACCTAGGTTATGTGCAAATGTTAAATAATAGAGAGAGCTGTGCATTTGCTGATTTTGGCAGTGTGGGAGGGAGGAGCCTAGAACTAATCCCCTGAAGATACTAAGGGATGACTCTACATTCTTTTTTTTCTTTTTGGTTCTGTGTTATATTTTTCTTTTTTCTTTTATACATTTTTTACATCATTTTTCATTTTTGCACAATGTATGCATTTTCATCTTGGTTATAGTCCCCATACAATTCCCAAGCCCCTTGTTTTGATCCTGCTCCCTCCTCACCCCCCCTCCCATAGTGTATCTCTGGTTTATAGTTGCTTGTTGATTTTGCTTTTTACTTTATTATAATTAGGTTTCTTTCCTGGTCCCTTATTTAGGTTTTCTAAATTTCTGCTATGAGTGAGACCATCTGGTATTTTTCTTTTTCTTTCTGGCTAATTTTGCTGACCATGATCCCTTCCAGCGCCATCCATGTTGCTGCAAATGGCATGAGTTTATCTTTTTTGATTGCTGAGTGATATTCCATTGTGTATATTACCCAAAGGGCACAGAAACATCAATTCAAAAGGGCACCTGCACCCCTATGTTTATAGCAGCACTATTTACAATAGCTAAGCTATTGGAAACAACCCAAATGCCCAAAAATAGATGACTGGATCAAGAAGATGTGGTACATATAAACGATGGATTATTACTCTGTGTTATATGTTTCTGTTGGTTCTCCTTCCTTTCATTCTTTGGACTTGATATCTTTATCCTCCCTAAATCAATTTATTTTTTAACACTATAAATATATTTATTCATGATGAGAGAACAAAATAATATGGGTCATTATTTGCATACATGCATGCCTGCTTCCTCTTGTTTTTAATAGACTTTGGAATCTCAAATTCACTTTCCAACGGCATACATTGTAAAAGTAAGATTCGTTTGTTCCAAAAGTTTCTTACCAACTCTAAAATTTCATAATTCTCAAAATGTTCTCTCCAGGACACACTCTCAATTGAACCCATAAATCAATTTCCAGACATGGTTCATTGCCATTTGTGGATTTACATCTCAGAGAAAACTAGAAATAGCTTTGACCAAAGTTTTCCATAGATGAATACTGTTATCTCTGGGAGGAGGGAGGAGGATCAAAACAAGGGTGGGTATGGGCAGGAATTGTATGGGGACTATAACCAAGATGAAAATCCCTCAATCAATTTCATTGCCTGATTTCTTTCTACTATCAGTCTGGACAACCAATGTGAGTTTCCTCTCCTCAACTGCACCTTTCATTTCCTTTTCTTCAACTGTCTCTTCACTACCTTTCCAACCTCAGTTCTAGCATCTCTCATGTGAACTTTAGGGTCAGGCCACACTATTCCTCCAATATCCCAAGTTCTTACAGAACTGCCTATTTTTGTTCATCCCTTCCTTTGATTTGGGTGGCACTTTTCTTCTTTGAATTCCAGGTAACTTCGCTGAAAATCACCTTAACTGAATGAGTAGACCACAGCTGTTATGCCTGCTCACAAGTGTCTGCAGCACCTAGCACATTCTTTGGTAATGGAATGTCTCTAGTACTCTTCAAATGTACTCTTTAAAGACACCTCCTTAAAATAGATCACTTATCTTCATAGCCTAAGTAACAGGCATAATACCTACAATTCTGTGACCTTTCTACCCCTGATTTTTGAGAGTTTGAAGGTGAACAAATTTGGAGTTCTCAGGCAAGGAGCTGACACTGATAATTGGAAACAACAGCACAGAACTAAGTAGAAGTGGCTGAAAATGGATTTGTGGCTGAGGGTCTCCTGAGAGATCAGAGAACTTTGGGGTATGAAGAATTCAGGTTTGAAGGCAAGAATATTGTCATAAGACTTCCCTTAAATAACTCATTGCATAAAAATACTATACTGGTATATAGTTTTAAATTACTAAATATGTAATACTTCCAATAAGATTTAAGTAAAGGAAAAAACATTTAAAAGACTAGAATTTCTGGGTATTCCCACTCTCCGCACAGCAATTTTTAATTTAATAGCCTTCAGAATGTTTTATGCTCATGTAAACTTTTAAGCAGGTTTCTTAACTTAGCATAAAGTGACACAATGTCATTAAGAAATTTCACAAGAGGGCATGAGGAGGAATATCTAGCTGATATATACCCAGCTAATTACCAGATGGGGTATATATTACATGAACTGTGATAACTTCCAAATCAATGACCCAGGCTTGCCTTCACAAATGTCAGCTATGCACTCTCATGAATATAAATAGATTCATGTACGTAGTCACTCCATTTTTAATGAGTGCAATTTACAAATGAGAGGCCCTTTAGATAATTCAGAGGTATAGACCTTTGATAAAAAAATGATAAATGCTAAAAACATTGTTAATAACAATGAAATATTTTAAAGGCTAAAGCCAATAGTATTTCTTTAATTCTCTGAAAAAAGAAAGTTAACTTTCATGCTCAAAGTAGAAGTTAAATTCTACTTTGAATTTGATTAAGCAATTTTGAAACATTTCAGAATTAAATTTGTCCTTAAATCAAGAAATAGATAAAAATAGTTCACTGTTACCTTACTTTCAAAATCACCAATGATTGGCACCAACTATAAAATGGCCATTCTTATGTGTGACCCTTAAAACATGCCCCCAAATGACTATGAATTCTTACGCAAATAATGTATTTGATAAGTGACAATTGAGTTGATTTTATTGATTTTGAACAGATCCTATTACTCAGTATATAAATGCCAAACAAACACATAAACAGGGCAGATGACACTATGTACAAATTAATTAGAAAAGAAAATGTGCACAGATGGTCACCCACATAAAAATCAGCATCTAAAATGTTGTTACACTTCAACAAGTATCCATTCATGTGTAGGATTAAAGAAAATGAGGAGGATGAGTTTAGAGAAGAAAAGAGAAAGAAGAAAGGCAGTGAAGAAAATGGTTTTCACATAATTAAACAGCTATAATTAAATACCTTTTGCAACTAGGTAAGTAAGATAAGAGAGTGCTCCTGAGACCCACGCCCTGTGGGCTCACTTTCTATGCTTGATGTGCCTTCCTTCAAATTTTCTTTTCTTTTTAAAATAGTTTTCTAGAGGCAAAATTGATATAGAAAAATTGCACATGTTTAGTGAATGAATATAATTTTATGAGTTTGGGCACAGGCATAACCAATCAAAATAATAATAGACATATCTATCACTTCCAATAGCAGTCAGTTTCTCCAGTATAGTTAACTTACAGGAGTTATGTTGCTATAGATCTCCACAACTAAGTTTCTCGTGTAACTGAAACTATATACCACTTCCTTGAAATTTTTTTAAAAAGATTTATTTATTTTATACAAGCACTAGGGCACAGGCCAGAGGCACAGGAGGGTGAGAGGATTCATCAGAGACAAAGCAGGAAGCAGAAGAGGCAGGACCGAAATACACTGCTGAAGTAAGCAGTGGGCGAGACAGGAGAGGTCTGCCGTGCCATGTAGGTATCTCCTTGGCTGACCAGGAATCTAACTGGAGCTGCAGAGGCTGCGGACAGCTTCACAGAGCTGTGCTCAACCAGCTGCACCACTGGGGAGGCCCTTCCTTGAAATTGTTAAAGGCCCTCCTGAGTCCTGGGTCCATGGTCTGCAGGGATATTTTTGTGTGGTACATCAAAGTCAGACTAGAGCTAAGTGGAACCTACTCTTTTTTCTTTATACTTTGAGGTGTGCTCTAATGTTTTATCCTAAGTACAAGGTCAACCAGATGCTACCAGGAACACAGGAGCTCCGAGCTTGGAGACCTTGTCCTAGTTCCAGGGTAGTGGTATGGCAAGGGATTCTTTTTAATGGTCTGTACAGTATTTTTTCCACAGGATTCCGCAAATTTAGGCCACAGAAAAAAATGATGCATTCATAATTGATTTTGAGTTATGTTTATTCATGTTGGACAGAGCTGAATTCAAGGATCTGGGCAACCAACAGTCTACCACTAGCCTTAGGCTTTGCGAGCTTTGTGGACCATGAATCAGTCTTCCCTTCCAACTACAGTGATACTACTGGTCTATCTACACATTTTAGAGTAGGAGGGGTATCAACAGGCATTCTTTATTGAGGGGGATTATTTTCCATTGCATTCAGGGTTGTCACCACTAGCCCTTTGAGTGTTTCATGTTAACTGTCATGGCTCTATTAGAAACCATGTCTATCTTCTCATTGAATGTCTTTCAAGACCCTTTTTCTCCAAAGCTAATAGATCTTTTTGATCAGTGTTCTCTATCCTCCCATAGAGGTAAGGATGGCATGTTTCCCAAGCTGGTTGAAGGCACATACTCAGGGACAAATATTCCTTGCACAAAGGGAGCAATTTTCTCTCTACCCAAGGGTCTCTCAGGTCTTCCCTGTGGGTGATACTGTGTAGAAATCAAGAGCTCAGCTCAGCCTACATTTAAAAAGGTCACATTATAGAAATGCAGTTACTATGGTTTAAAGAGTTTAAGAAAAAGAAACTGTTAGAAGATTTTTTTTCTGTCCACAATCTAACGTACTGAATAGTCAATTTTAAATGACTAGAGAACAATTATGGCTCTCTCTTCCCTCCATGCTCTGAATAAAATATCCATTCACGATTATTATTCTGCATAGGAATCACATCTAAGGGAGTTCCTGGAAGCCAGTATTCATGGGAAGAACAATGGATGATGCTATGTCATGAATAATGATATAACCAGCATTAAATAAATGGCACCATGAAACTGTAGAGGGAAGATGTATACTATTTCAATATAAATAGGTTCTGAAGATCAGTGGCCTTGAAAGGAATAACAGTATTTCGGTTTTTTTCTCAAATTGGGGAATAATCAATTAGCCAGAAATTGTGCAGTCAACATAAAAAACATAAAAAAAAGGGTTTAACTTTAAGGAAGAAGAGTTATGTTGATTAAAAAGAGTATACAACAATTATCCCTATTCACATGTGGAATAATCATCTTTTGAACATTTTCTACAATGAGAAAGTCCACGCAGTGATCAAATATCAGGAATATTGGGAGAAGTCAGCTTCACTGAGAGGCAGATTGAAACAGATGGTTTTTAAGGTGTTGAATCATAATGGTTTTAACTATCTCCTGCCTTGGCAAGAGACAGTAAAATTCTCAGTGTGGTTTCAAACTAGTCTTCTATGTAACTCCAAGATTCTACCAGACATGATGATAGAGATTTTTAAGACAAGATTACTCTGATACCCTAACTAACCCACATAGCTTTGGATAATGAATGACAGTGTTCTGACAGCAGTAACTTATGAACCATGCTGTGCAGTTTCTCAAATCTATGTGTTATTTTATTTCCTTTTCTCTTCTCTCCTTGGAACCATCCATTTCCATCACTGCCTTCATATAATTCTACTACTTCATATGTAAACTTAAAATTTATTCCATTCTTTGAAAGTAAATCTGAATTCAAGTGGGATTATTAAGAATGTCACTGTATATTGCTCTCTTAACATGCAATAGCCTAGCAGAGACTAAAATACTGAAAGAAGGTAAAGATGAACAAGTGGACATGTCAAGCATTATACTAATATAATATCTGAATGTTTTTTAAAAATTAAATGGTGGGCCTCCCTGGTGGCGTAGCAGTTGAGCGCTGGGTTGCGAAGCTGCCCGCAGCCTCTGCAGTACCAGTTCGATCCCCAGCTGCTGGGCGAGGTTCCCACATGGCGCAGACCTCCCCTGCTGCCCGCTGCTCCCCTCAGCAGTGTACTTCATCAGTCTGCCTGCTCTGCTCTCCCCTCTGGCTCTGGTGAATTCTCTTACCCTCCCGCGCTTCTGACTGTATCCAATGCTTGTATAAATAAATAAATAAATCTTTTAAAAAAATAAATAAAAATTAAATGGTAAATTCATTTTCTTCTTCATACTGTCTTTAGCAGATAGCATAATGAATTAAATATACACATACTGTCTTCCCACAGAGTCTCATATAGAACCAATGTAAACTTCTCGTCCATAGTAACAAGTCACATCATGGTTCATTGCAAACTCTGACTTCTAGGTTCTATGCCTGGATCCATCCTGACTCAGATAATCAGCACCTCGATTGTACTTTCCTACAGTACCATGGTCCACTTCTAGGATATGGTTCTCTTTATATAACGTGGGGTCCTGAATGATCCATTATTTTCTGCTGTCACCCAATATCCGCACACTGGGAAATAGTCTTCCTGGATGTCCCTATTGCAATGCGTTAAAGGAATTGCCTCCATTTCCTGTAATGTTTACTAACTCTTTGGCATGCCTAAGAATTTAGACCTTTCCAGGACAAAGACCTTACTTAGAAAAATATTCAGCGAAGAACATGAAAACCCCCTCTACGTTTTGTGAAACTCACTCTGTAGAAGTGCACTTGTCTTCTATTGCTTCCCATTTCCACTCCACTGGCAAATTCCTGCCACTTCCTAGATATCTGTACTTCTGTTGGGGGGGATGTCCTAAAGCTAATTCCATACAGGCTTTGTGGACTCCACCCCCACCCCAGGCCAAAGCCAAAGACACTGGGAACTCCAAATCCCATCACCACCAAAGGAAAGGTGGCTGGGACCTGAGGGTGGGGTTAAGCAGCCAGGTTGGTATAAAGCCAGACACGTTGGCTTTGCGGTGGGGGGGGGGTTCCCCCATTTTGGCTCTCTGCCAGCTTGCAGCGTCCGGCCAGTGCTGAGAGTGCCTTTGGGTTTCCAGGTTGGCAGATCGGATAGGACACATTAAAGACTTTATTTCCCTATTTTCTCCCTGAGTTGTACATTTTCCTTATTTCCTTTTCCCTTGCAAATAAACCTTTTATTAACCTTTTGTGTGTGCCTGTAGTGGAGTAGTAATAAGTCCCTTTTAAGCACACAGGTGAGGACCCACAGCCAGGCAACCCTTTCAATATCGGGGCTGCCCTATAACACTTCCCATCCACAAAATTAGTGGGGAAGATGTGCCTTCTTCTTGACTTGATAGTTCTAGTTTCTTCGAGAAAGACCCTAAAGCTGAGGTGAATTTAAGACCTGGGTTGGATAAACATCAGTGGGTAGGGTAGTTTACCTTATACTTTCTTTTTTTAATTTATTTTTTAATTGAGGTAATATTGGCTTACTTTATTGGTAGTATTTTGGAAGTATTGGATTTCCATCCCCTCAAGGTATCACCACCATAGTTCACTCACCACCAAATCACTCAGGATCCTTCACCATAGTCCATTGTGCATCCTTTTTCCTCTGTTTCAAGCCATCCCCTGTGAATGCTTCAGTTCTATAGTAAGTTTTCAAGGGTTAGTTTTTAAGCATGTCTTAATTTGGTTTCTCTATAGTCAACATATAAATAACACTATCTGATATCTGTCACCTTCTGACTTATTTCACATAGCATTATATCTTCCCATTCCATGAGACCATGAGTTTATCTTTTTTGATCACTTTTGCTTTTAAAGTTGTCAGGACTTAATATTACTTAACTTTTTTACTAAATATCCAGTTCCCTGGGAAAATCTTATCACTTAGAACTAATTAAACGCTCTACCTTCTAGGAGTCTCAGTTACTTAAGTCACACTTAAGCTTCGTAAAAGTCATGGCACCCTAGTGATCCAGGGCTCTGACCTTCTATCCCACTCACTCCTTCCTTCTGTATGTTCCATGTTGTCCTAGACGCCTACTGAATCCTAATCCAAAAAGCAACACTCAGAGAAGTCACATAAACCTTCTATGATTGATAATGTTTCTTTTGCTTTTACCAAGAACTTCCTCTAAAATGAGTTCATTTTCAATACCACTTCTTCATAATGATGGCTTTGAAGTTCTGCTTACTGACAGCTAGAGTAATATTGAAAACAAGGCTATAGACGCCTTTTCAAAGTCTCCAATGGCTGCTAGTACAAGTGACACTACACAATAGCCAAAGTCAACAGTAAGAGTTTAGAGATGCTAATGCAGGTTAACATTTTACTTTGAAATTCACATGTATGGTTTTAAACCCTGTCTCCAAAGCAAACTCCATGTAGCTCTGTGGTTTCCCAGAAATCTGTCTGCCTACTCTACTTCATTTAGGACAGCGGGACCAAGGCCAAGATATTTCCTCAGCATAAAAAATGATCTCTACTACCTGAATTTGTAACTAAAATCCTGACAAAAGGAAAATTATTTTTGAATAATATTCAAAAGTTTTTTCTACAAGGCTTCTCAGTTACCTAAAAGACACTGCTTTCCTCATACACATGGATATTTCCTGCTATCTGGATTTAATATTGGTCTAATTTAGATTCAGAATATTAAACATAGTCTATACCAGAGATATTCTGATGGCTTACAATGTTTAAAAGGATATTTAAATAACCATTTAAAAGATTCCAGCTCCCTCAGATTTATAATTGATACTAAGAAAGATACACACATGCATTAATTTATACAAAGAAGCCACTTTCAATTCACTCTCTGGGTATCTGCTGCAAGCAGATCAAAATAACATAGCTAATAAATCATAGGAAGAATTTCAATCCTATCTCTATTTTTTTTTAAAGATTTATTTTTGCATGTAAGAGCTGGGATGTAGGCCACAGGTACAGAGTGGTCAGAGGATTCACCAGAGACACAATGGGGAGCAGAATAGGCAGATCTACTGAAATATACTGCTGAGGGGAGCAGCAGGCAAGACAGGAGATTTCTGCTATGACACATGGGTTAGCTCCCTGACCAGGGATTGAACTTGTGCTGCAGTGGCTGCAGATAATGTCACAGTGCAGAGACTTAACCACTTGTACCACCAGGGAAACCCCTATATCTATTACTTTAAAAGCCTAAGTTGTCTGAAATTTGATACTTTGAAACATTAGTGAGAATAAAGTTTAAAAATTATGTAAATTATTCTATTTGTTGAGAAATAACAGATGGTTAAGAGTTAAAGTTAACTCTTGTTTTTTTATGGTTTATAATCTTTAAAATTAAAGTCTGTACACTCACTGAAACTGATGAAAATGATTCAGTGTAACAGATCTAAATTCTTTAGTAAAAGATTCTCTATGTGACCAATTATAAATTTCATGTTATTCTTTCACCAATTATTACCTGACTACGTCTTTGGGTTTAGTGCAAATTCAGGAGCAAAATTAAAGCATTGTAAGGAATGTGACTCAGGCAACATTTCTCTCTACAACAAGGAGGAAAAACTCAAAGGTGATTGGTCTCATGAACAATTAGGCAAAGTTTTATATAAATAGCTAATTCATTAAAAGCACGCCCAAAAGCAAATAGCATTTTCACAGTCTCATGAATACAATGGGGCTGCTATCCTGCCTGTTTTAGTAGCAACAAGAAATTTGGACGTACTATGAAGAAACTTGCTTTTTGCAGCTGTCCTATTTGCTGCAGTGTGTAAAAAGGAGATAATTCACTTAAATTCAGAGTCTGAACTACACAGACATAGAAAGTTACAACTGTGTGTTATTAATGGAAACCATGAAAGAGAGAGGCTAGATAAAGTAGTTTTTTAAGAGCATTGAAGGTAACTGTAATAATACAATGGAGGAAAATGGTAATAACGACAGTTTATATGGGAGTATCACTTTAAAAGAAATTTTGGGCCTCCCTGGTGGTGCAAGGGGTTAAGCACAGCACTGAGAAGCTATCCACAGCCTCTGCAGCATGAGTTCTATCCCCAGCCTGGGAGCTACCCACATGGCACAGCAGACCTCTCCTGTCTCGCCCACTGCTCCCCTAAGCAGTGTATTTCAGTAGATCTGCCCATTCTGCTCCCCACTCTCTCTGGTGAATCCTCTCACCCCATGCACCTCTGGCTTACACCCCAGTGCTTGTATGCATAAATAAATAAACCTTAAAAAAAAAGAACTTTCACAAATATTGTTAACCCTTTTCCATATAAGCATAAATGGGGAATTATGCCAGAGGATATTTCAATTAAGCTCTCTGACACTGGTTGCACATGACTGAGAATTTTGGTATTCTATATCTATAACAGCATCAACTTGAGAGCAAAGAACCTGAAAGTAAATAATCAGAATAGGAGTGCTAAATGGATGGAGCTGACAGAGATGCATGGTGATAACTTAATGCTGAGATGCCTAAAAGATGCCTTTCGATAATCTCATTCAGAATTATGTATAAAATAATTTCAGCAATAAACCTAAAATTATTCATTGTGTGTGAAACAAACTCAAGTGTACCTCGTCTAATTTTTTCACATAAATCATTACTCAAAATCACAGTCAATTATTGGAATTTAATGGGACTAAAAGTAGTCTCAGTACAGTACCATGAAGGAATTTGCATGTTAGTGAACCCTGAGTAGAATGAAAATATATTTCATTTAATTATTTGGATATAATTCAATGCATTATTTCCTCAATTAGCATTAATTACCTTCATGTATAATTCAATTTCACTACAGAGAGAATTTCTTTTTACGTAATATGTACAACATTCATGCCATTTCTTAAAATGCAGTGAGTTTGGTATTGTAGAACAATAGTAATGGATCATCCCTCTTTTCTTTCCCTTTCTTACTGAACTGTGGCAAAGGACAAAAAAGAATATGATGCTTTATTTTTAATGCTATCATCATTCTCAGTATGACCTAACCAGTAAAAACTGCAAAATCAGCAGTGGATTCAGACCTAGGGATTGTCTTTAAAAAAGTGAGCACAAGAAGAAACACACTTGAGCTGCATCCAAGAAGCTGTCATTGGACTTGGGGATGAAGTTTGCTTTTGGCTACTGCTAAGCTTAGCAATTGCTACTGCTCCGCTTCTAACTGGTTATCTACTTTCTAAAGATGAGATTTAGAGAATATTGTAAAAAGAACATTTGCTGCGAAAAGCATGGTCATAAACTTCAATTGAAAAAAAATTTATTAGGTGCCCACAATGTGCAAAGCAGGGAGCTCATGAGAGTATAAGCAGTTTTCTCCAACGCACAGGTTCCCCACACTCAATAAATATGAACAAATGGATTGATATGATGGATGAAGGTTGGTAGGAATTCTTTTTTTACTATTTCTTTATGTTTTCAATTTCTGGGTTCACATAGCTCTTACAGAAGATAGAAAAATTTTCAAATATGCATGACCTAAACTTATATGACCTAAAATTATTCATAAAACATGATGGAGAGTTTCATATCTTTAATGTTTATTAGCACTTTCAGGTAACAGGATACCATTCAGTCTACTATGGAACTGTAAGATTACATATTTGTTTAGCAAGTTAGAACAGGGCAGTTATTAAGACTAGCATGTCCTCATGCTAACTTTTTAAAGACCCTTCATCCCACAGAGGAATGTAACTTGTGTATTCAATTGTGAAAAATGAGGAAGAGGATGATGCTCTATGTAAATCACTGTACTCTGTCACCTGTAAGGTTTAAATAAAGTGACTTTTAATAGCTCATTTTATAGTTGAAAACACAAAGCCACAAGAGGCAAAATAATTTATCTAGACATATAAGTGGTCAAGTGAAGATTCAAACTCAGGATTTACTCTGTCTAAATCCTAGATGGTACTGAGTTCAGTCCTGTGGGACTGCAGCAGTGCAAGTCACTGGACTTAAAAGTACATCTGTCCTGCCTATCTCTGTACTCCATTAAACTGTGGCATTTTGCTCTTTCTTTACCTGCATTTACCTACAAACTAAAAAAAAGGACTTCTGATTAGATTTTATTTTATTTTTTTTTGCAGTACTTCCAACACTGAATTAGTGGATATTGGCACATTCAGGTAGCAGTTTTATCCCTATAAGAACTATATAAATAACATCGTGTCTATATGCTCCTTTAGAGAATGTCAAGCAAATGGTTTCCTCCCCAGATTCCATGTCAGAATGGAGTTTGTTTCATGTTTTACACCAAAGAGAGGATCTGTGCCAAGTTTAAATTAAGAACAAAAGTCGAAGTAATGGTGCATCAGTTGTGGGTTTGGCAGTGGCAAGAAAAGATAGCCTCAAAGAAAACTCATACCTTTTATGGAAACCAAATATTGACCACAATTGGCACACAGAAAACTGCATGGACAAACAAAACTGCTGGATAAACAAATCAAAATTACATAGGAAGCTGACACCCATTCTTTACAGTGGAAAACCAAAGATAAAAATGAGTCACAAATTTTATATTCTTGGAAAGGATAAATGTTCACCCATCTGGTAATATGTTTTTAAAAAATTTCCCCGAAGATGTCTAATATTTCCAATATTTTCTTTAATAACAAACTAAGAATAACTGCAATGTGTTAATGCCACAGACCAACTGACTTTAAACTCAGTTGTGAAAGAAAATAAAACTTCAGTTTAACAATGCTTTATTCGTACCATGTTATTTAATAAT